AGATGCCTAGAAGTGGTATGACTGGGTCGTAAGGGAGGTCAATCTTTAGCTTTCTAAGGACCCTCCAGACTGCTTTCCAAAGTGAACAACAGGCTTTTGATCAAATCAAAAAGGCCTTACTATCAGCCCCAGTCTCGGGCCTCCCAGATGTGTCCAAACCTTTCAGACAGTCATCCGCCAGCCCCCTGACCCCTGGCTTTCAACTGCCCGGATCACCCACAATCAAGGGGCGCCTTGTGTTAAATGTTAATCTTGTGGTTTTTGCTTTTAAAAATGCCTGTAACTGCTGCTCGGGGCTCTCTCTCTCCTTGTGAGGCAGAGACCAGTTTTGGCAAACGTCCAATAAACTCCTCTTGCTTGTTGCCTTTGGCTGGCCTGGAGACTGGGTTTCTGGGGCGCCTTCCCGTTGACGAAAGTATCCTAGGAAACTGGGGTCTTTCAATAGCTCACTCCTGAAAGCTCCCCTCCGGCCTGTGGGGGGCCTGTGGTGGGTTGCGGGACAGGCGAGCACGCGCGTGCCGGGCGGGCGTGTGCACCTGTGAAGACACTGTGGTGACACCTGTTGGCAGTTACGCGGGGTGCGGCGCAGCACAGCTGTGCCTCTGTGGAAATGTAGTGGAGGCCCCCCTGCTAATGATAATGACGCTGACAGAGAAAGTTACATTTTCTCTTTTCTTTTCTGTCAGTTGTGGGGCCTGAACTCTGGGCCTGGGCGCCGTCCCTCAGCTCTTCAGCTCAAGGCCAGCAGCACTCTACCACTTGAGCCACAGCACCCCTTCTGGCTTTTTCTGCTGAGGAATCGAACCCAGGGCCTCGTGCATGCAAGGCAAGCGCCCTACCATTGAGCCACCTTCCCAGCCCCAAGAAAATTAAAAATTCATATTGTAAAATTTACCCTTTTAAAGTGTGCTGCAATTTAATAATTTTAAGTGTATTCATAAGGTTGTGGGCCTATCATCAACGATTCTCAACTAGGAAGGGCCGTTAGTAATCATGTCTCTTTCCCTTTTTCCCACACCCTGGTACTCATTAATTTTTAATTGTTTGTTTATTTTTGGGTCTGTCCTGGGGTCTGAACTCTGGGCCTGGGCGCTGTCCCTCAGCTTCTGTGATGCTGAGGAATCGAACCCAGAGCCTCCTGCATGCAAGGCAAACACTACCACTGAGCCACCTTCCCAGCCCTAATTTTTTTTTCCTTGATGGTCTTGGGGCTTGAACTCAGTCTCTTGCTTTCCTGTGGCTATTGCTTATAGCCTGAGCTCTACTACTTGAGCCACACCTTTATTTATTTATTTATTTTTGGTGGGTCCGGTCATGGGCCTGAACTCTGGGCCTGGGCACTGT